TTAGAAAAGTTATAGTTAACCTAAATAAGTTAACTAAGAAAGATACTTAATAGGCTTAGATACCCGAAGCGGAGAAAGTATTTAACAAATTAAAAGAGATCTTTACGAAGCGATAAATTATAAAGATATTCGATAAAGAAAAACTAATTACTATCGAAATAGATATATTAGACTATACGCTAGGAGTAAGATTACTCTAACCTATAGATAAAGAAGGTAAAGACCTAAGGCCGGTTACCTTCTAGTTACGAAAGATAAGCCCTATAGAGCTTAACTACGATATCTATAATAAGGAACTATTAGTAATAGTTTCCGCGTTTAAAGTATAGAGATACTACCTAGAAGGAGTAAAATATTAAGTAATAGTAAAGTTAGACTATAAGAATCTAATATATTTTACTACGACTAAGGAACTTATAAGATAATAAGTTCGATAGGTAGAAGTCCTAGTAAGTTACGACTATAGGATCGAATATTATAAGGGAATAGCTAATAGCTAAGTAGATACTCTAAGTAGAAGACCGGACTACTAAGAAGGAGTCGAACTAGTAGAATATATAGTATTTAAAACTAACGATAAAGGATATTTAGTATATAATTACTAAATACTCGCTATAATAAGCGAAGTATAAGAATCTAAATAGATATAATAACTTATATAAGTAACTAAGAGTAACGAAATAATTAGTAAGCTTATAGAACTAGGAAAGGAAAACCTTATTTAGATAGATAAGGGATTAGTCCTAATATACGGACTAATATATATTCTAATAATATTATAAAGAGAAGTAATTAAACGATATTACGATAATCCTACGAGAGGATATACAGGAATAGAAAAAATAATAGAATAAATATTACGAAACTACTTTATACCTAACCTACGACGAAAGGTTATAGGATATATCTAAAGATATAAAATATATTAATAGAATAAGCCTATAAGGTATATACCCTATAGAATACTATAGAAGAGCGAAACGCTAACTAAATTATAGGAATAGATAATAATAGATTTTATTACTAAACTACTAAAAAGCTAAGAATAGGATATAATCCTAGTAGTAGTAGATAGACTTATAAAATATACCTATATAATCCTAACTATAGAGACAATTAGCGTAGTATAACTAGCGTAGATCTTATTAAAAGAAGTATTCTTAAAGTATAGAATACCTAGAAGAATTACGAGTAATAGAGATAAGCTCTTTATATCGAAATTCTAGTAGTTATTAATAGATTTAATCGGAGTAGAGTATAGACTCTCTACTGCTTATTATCTATAAATAAATAGATAGATAGAGAGAGTAAATTAGATACTCGAGTAATATCTATAAATAAATATAAACTACGTTTAAGATAACTAGGTTATACTACTACTATTAGCCTAGTTTATATATAATAACGCGGTTAATATAATAACTAGAGAAACTCTATTCTTCGTAAATTACAGAAGAAATCTAATAATAATCGGAGAATTAATTAGAAACTATCCTATTATAGAAGAGGCCCGGTTAATAGCAAAGAAATTAAAGTAGCTATACCTATAGCTATACCGAGATATAGAGTTTCTTAGTAATAGGATAGTACTCTACTATAATAAAGGTAGATTAGAGGGATCTAATCTAAAAAAGGGAGGGAAGGTTTATCTCCTAAAATATAATATTAAAATAAAACGACTAAGTATAAAACTTAATTATCTACGAATTAGACTATACGAAATTAAAGAAAAAATTAGCGAAGTAAATTTTCGATTAAAACTACTAGAGAGAATAAAGAAGATATATCCGACGTTCTATATATCGTTACTAGAACTAGTATCTAAGAACACTTAATACGATAAAGAAGGAGAAGAAATTAAACTTAACGAAGAATTCGAAGTAGAAAAAATACTAGACGAGAAACGAATTAATAGAAAGTACTACTACCTTATTAAATAGAAAAGATACGATACTAATAATAATATATAGGAGCCTATCGAGAATCTAACGGCTTACTAATTATCGGTAGGATAGTTTTACTAGAAATAGAACCGTAACTAGGAGGTTATAAGAAAGCGTCTAGATTATCCTAAGAGAAATCGGAAGACCTAAGGACTTACGATAAACTAGGAAGGTCGGAAGTCGCTATAAGAACCTAATAGTTCGTAGAAAGAGTAGTATTATTATATCTAGAAGCGGTACTAGACTCTACTCTACGATTATTAAGAGTAGAGGCCTCGATATATTCCTTTTCAAGATACTCTAGCTCTTCCTTTTCGCGACGCTTGAGCTCCTTAAGCTTAGCGATATCTTTATATTTATAAGCGATAAAGTTACCCGCTTACTTTTTTAATAAACACTTTTACTTTTAGAGACGAAAGAGTTTAGCTATAATAAGCTTCTCCTCCTTATCGATTTTACTTTACGAAGCTAGTAAGCGACGCTACTCGGCGTTACTAAACGACTCTAATAGTATTTTATACTTAATACTATAACTAGCGCGGATATAATAAGAATAGTTCTTCGAATAGTTAGAACGAATATAGATATAGTATAAGCGAGTATAACGAAGATAGGGAATAAGGGACTTAAAGCCCTCGTATTTAATAAGCTAATAGAGCTTACGGTTAGTAATACCTAACGAAGATATAGTTAGGAAATATTACTAAGGGGAATAAAGGGAAGGTCGCTGATAGAGGGGACTTACGACTACTTATATCTTTTAAGGACGAAAGACTAGAAAGAGGGGGAGGTAATATTATAGACCTACCCCTAGGATACTAATTATAGACTTGCCTAAACTAATTAGTTTAGTAATAAGGTAGTTAGATAGGTTTTACTAGATAATCTATCGAGATACTTAGGCTATAATACCTAAGTATAGGATCACGTAACGATCCGTTCCGTTAAACGGAACGGACCTAACCGTTAATAGGAAAGGTCCTATCGAAGTAATAGAAGGACTAGATATATAAGGACGCTTATTTACCTATATATATTTAGTTCTTCGCGTTAATTTATATATTATTACTACAAGCTATATTTATTACTTATAAATTAATCTTAACAATTAACTATCTTTAAGAGACGTAATACCCTCATAGTATAATATAAGGATATACTCTAACTAGGAGGAACACTTAGTAGTTATTATATAACTACTTAGTTAACTAACTAGGCGCCCTTCAACTATATACGTCCCCGGTCTACTCTATAAGATCTAAGCCTGTATAAGGCTAGAGCAGGCAATAGTACGATTGCGAGATAGATCGTCGGAGATTACAAGAGAGGTACGTTACGATAACGCATATTTAACGTTAACCAGTTAGCAGCGCGTAACAGGCGGGATAGTATAGGAATCTATTTAGCCGAGGCGTTACGAGGCTTCCGCTCTTAAAGTAATACTAATAAAGATATAGATTAAGGCTATCCTATTAGCTTCTAGGGATCTAATATTTTTTACGGAAGTAAATACTAGCCTAGAAGCTCTCGGTTAGGATTACGTATTAATAGAGAGTATAGATTACTATATATTCCCCCTAGTCGAGATAGAGAGAAAGGTAAGGCTATTCTAGGGAGGATCCTAGATAGCGGGATAATATCGTAGAATACGATAGTTATAATTCGAGTATAGCGAAAGTCGCTAATAAGATAAAGATTTTATCGATAGCTAAATAGAGAGGATATTCCCTCCCGGCCTACTCTATAAACGCGTCCGGCCGCGTGCTAGAACGCGCTTTACTTTTTCTCCTCCTAATATCGCGCGCGATAGAGGATAGACGATAGATTAAATTAGGGGGTTTTAGAGGTCGCGCCGGATTAGCTCGCGAGGATCCACTAGTAGGGCGTAATAGCCGACTAGGTCGCTGTAGTTGCCCGGAGCCTTAACTATAGGGCGCACAGACGAAAAGCGTAGAATAGTCGACTATTCCCGAGGGAATAGTATAGTAGGATATACTCCTATTATATAATATTACAACCCCCTAAATCCCAACTCAATGCCTCAGGCGCTATTTCGACACCTTCCCGATCAGGCTTCATAATGACAACCCTACTTGTCCCTGATATATATACAGGCCCTAAAGGTTCGGTGCCCTTTCATCAGGGATTCGTGAACCCCTCTTTCTCGATGCCTTCGCTTAATCCTACTACATAGGAACCACGGCAGACCGTATGTCATAATGTGATCCATTATCTCTGCTTTGGTTATGTGGAAAGGTGTCGAAGCCTGTACATAAATTGAGGATTATAGAGATATCTAAGATAGCAAGAAACAGTGTTTTACCTTCCTTACTTGACGTCTATCTTCCTACCTAGTCGACAGGCTTTCTACCCTATACAAGTAGTTATTCTCTAACAGTAAGAGCCGACTAGGTCGCTGCAGTCGCCCGGAGCGTTAACTATAGGACGCACGGACGAAAAGCGTGGAATCGTCGACTATTCCCGAGGGAATACTACAATAGTATACGTCAGATTGTTACAGGGATGCTCGATTGTCTGCATGTTTTGTATAGTATCCCGGGTATACTCGGAACCCAGCGCCGTAACGCGCTAGACAGCGAGGTAGGGGTATTCAACACTCCCCGCCTACACACTTAGATAGTTCAGTCACCTAATACATCACTATATTGAGCATCTCGTTCTATTGGATCCTAGCTTTCCTAGCCGATACCGTATCCTACCAAATTGATATCTTCCCTTGAATTTATACTTTTCCCTTGCATTTATGCTCCATCAATTTATCCTTTCGGCTGTAAGTTTTATGGCATACATCGCAATCGAAACTCATCTTACTAAACGGGTCGTGTGTTGCAACGTGTCGCTTCAAATGAGAAGTCCTATCCTTGCCTGTGAAGGTCTTATTGCAACCCGGATGAGTGCACTGGACTACCTCTGGAGTACGTGCGACTTGTTCATTAGGTGGTCTGTTGTGTATATCTAGATGACGGATCATATTGTCCCTGTAGTGGCTGACCTGACTGCAAGTTAAGCATTTCCACTCCCCGTCCTCCGTCTGTGTCAGGCCGGGATGAGGTTTTCCAGGCCTATGGGCTCTTGTGGCAGTAGAAGCTTGGGGAGGGTTGGAAGGAGGGGCTGGAGAAGGCCTGGGAGGCTGGGTAGTCGGAGGAAGATTGGACGAACGGGATGGATTAGAAGGCCCAGAAGGAGGGGCTGGAGAAGGCCTGGCAGGCTGCGAAGCTGTGGAGGCTGATAAAGTCGAGGGGGGCGTGGGTGCCGAGATTCGCGCATGGCCTGAAGGGCCAGCTCCTACGGGTGGAACCGCAGACGCGGTGGATGGAGCAGCTGAAGGGCGAGAGCCCGTTGAGCTGGGAGTGGCGGTAGGTTTGGGCGTAGGTTTAGCAGCTGGCCTGACGGCTAGCGTGGTGGTAGTGGGAGTGGAAGCAGCTGGGAGAGCCCCAGACTGGCTTGACTTTCGGCCAGTCCATTTGGGGTCAGTCCAGTTTATACGATCGACTTTAATGCCCTTTTCCCTCATTTCTTTGACAAAGGCTGCATCCTCCTCGTCGTCCTTAGTACGCGGCATATTGGGCGGTGGTGTCCAAGCAGGTTGTCCCTTTGCTTGCTGCTCTGTCTCTGCTAACATGTTTTTGAACGCTGCATCCTGTTCTGCTCTTCTCTGAGGCTCTTCCGCCATGTCTCGTTCCCGCTGTTTTTCTTGTGATTCCTTAAATTGTTGTTGGCGAAGCGCGCTTACGCCAGGAGCTCTCGCCGGCGGCTTTGGTTGCTTTGATGACGGTGTCATTCTTCTCTCGTATCTGATCTAGTCTTATCTCTGCCTATTGATAAAAGGACACGGTGATATTAGATGGTTCTAGAGTGGATCCGAGTTATGATCGATTTCTTGCTGAATGATGCTTTCCAAATCACTGGATAGATTAGACAAGGATAATAGCTGGACGCTGGCGGGGGATGTGACTCTTTATATATTTGCTTGGAAGCGCTCTTAAGAGCAATGCAGGATAAAAATAGCTTTTTCTTGTTTGCAACGATACTTGATTTGTGATTCTATTTGATGTTTTCAATATTCTGACACGTATCTATGCGTATGCGGGGCATTGCTAGGCATTAATTCGCGGGTGAGGAGCTATGTCTTGCTTTATTAGTGATCTCTTATAGTTTAAAAATAATAGAGCTAACAAAGATATTTTCTTCAAGACCAGGCATTCATGGCCTCTGATACGCTTGAGGCTGGGCTGTCCGAAGCAAGAGCAACTTATTTCGACAAAAAGCGAGGCGCTACTTCACCTAAACTATAAATAGCTATAGTTACTGCGTCATTTTTTCTTCGCGATGACGAATTTTTAATTCTGCGCGCTAAGCGTTGTTGGGTGGTAGGGCGAATGTTATCACAACTAGATATCGCCAAAGCCTACACAGGCCCTACTATTTTTGTTACAGACCTACCCCTAGGATGCTAATTATAGACTCGCCTGAACCAATCAGTTCTACTGTACTATTCCCTCGGGAATGGTCGACCATTCCACGCTTTTCGTCCGTGCGCCCTATAGTTAAGGCTCCGGGCGACTACAGCGACCTAGTCGGCTATTACGCCCTACTAGTGGATCCTCGCGAGCTAATCCGGTACGGTCTTAGTAGTACTAGATAGCTTACTAGAGAGCCCTATCCTTACTCTCCTTCTATCCTATAGTACCGGGTGTAGTGAGCCTGACTGTAAGGTAGTTAGAGTCTTTTAGTATAGGCAGTATTTTAACGCTAGACCTTACTATAATTGATTTTCTATCCTATAGTACCGGGTGTAGTGAGCCTGACTATAAGGCAGTCAGAGTCTTTTAGTATAGGTAGTATTTTAACGCTAGACCTTACTATAATTAATTTTCTAAGGCTAACTATAAGCCTTTTTCCTCGTATAATTAAGCTTAAATTTTAGGATATTTTAATTCGGAGTATCTACTATCTCTCGTTTTAATTTAAGCTTCTATAGTTATAATTTACTCTCGTACGATCTAACCCTAATTTACTTAAAATAGCGGAGATTTTTTAATAGGGTACGACTAGGAGGACCTATATCCTTAGTTAGCTCTAAAGTTAGATCTTCTCCTCTAGACCTATATATAGGGTTATTTCGTACGACTAGTTTATATAAAGACTTTATTAACCTTTCTTTTATTTTTTAATTTAGAAATATTAGAGCTTATTTTTAATTAGTCTATATTAAGGGTTTTATTTATAGTTAACCTTTTTTTATTTATACGAATTACTAGAATAAAGAAGACTAGCGATTAGATCTATTTAAAACTCCGTAACTTTAGAATTTTTATTTACTCTAGATATTATCCTTAGAGAGTTAAAGAAAGAGTTGTTACTATATTCCTCTTTATCGTACGAGAGGCCTCTTAGTAGATCTTAGCTTCTTTTCTACTATTTCCTATATTTAAGGACTTCCTAACCCTCTTCTCCCTATCTTCGACTCTATTTTATACTTACTCTTGCTCGATACTTACTCTTCTCCTCTAATCCTATCTTTCTCTATTATAGTAGGTATAGTACCTATAGGCGCTCTCATACGAGTTAGGTATAAGCTAGATAAAAGCCGCCTATAGAGTTAAGCCCTTTTCTATATTATACGTCTAGTATATATAGTAGAGGGTAGCGCTAAATATAAGATCGTACGACTAACTTATACTAGTAATTAGGCCTTACTATAACTCTACTATACTCTATAGTAATAAGAGGTCAATCAATCAATCAATCAATCAATAATCTTATTCCTGATAGAGCTTCCTCTATATACAAGGTGCTATGCAGGGATTTGCGCCTTCTAGTGCCAGCCTAGTGCGTATAAGAAGGTGCCATCGAGGCAAGGGCTAGTAAACGCTAGAACGAACAGATAAGATCGAATGACAAAGGAAAAATAAACGAAAGAAGGGATCCGCCTCCGCGGTATCCCGCGTGTCCCGGCGGAGCCGAGTGCACCTGCTATACACTATAGCCTTAGCTAGGCCTCGGCACGACCCGCGGGTGACCCTCGGCGGGTGACCCTCCGACCCTCGTTTTGAGGGTCGAGGGTCTAGCTTATAGACCCGCGGGTCGGGTCTAGTGTAGGTAGGACCCTCGCGAGGGTTACCCGCGGGTAACCCGCGGGTAGTTAAACTAAGCAAATAGAAGGAACTCGCGACTTGTATAATTTATGCAGATTGCAGCGGTATCTTTTAGTATTTCACTTACTCTATCCTAGTGTAGAGAGAGTCTATAGGTAGTAGGTAGAATATATTAAATAATCCTATTTAGTAATAGGTTTTCTAACTACGGTTAAAATTAGAAATACTTATATATTAGAGACTATCCTACGGCCTATATTTCTGACCACGGTTAGAAAACTAGGGTAGTTAAGGGTCGGGATAATAGATATTAGATAGACTACGGAAACTCTTCTATCCTACATAGATATTTTTAACTATAGTTAGAAAACTAGGGTAGGACTCCTCTTAAACCTCGTATCTATCTAGTAGTCTTGACTATTTTCGAAGATAGCCTAATATACGTTAGTATATATTAGGTAGTAGAAGGGTAGCTATATTATTATCTCTATCCTCGTAGTCTTCTATAACCTCTAGTTCTAATATAATACTCTTCCGTTATTTCCCTAGGCTTCGTTCGCTACTTCCCTAACCCTCTAGCTATATCTCTATAGATTTATCTTCTTCTTCTTTATAATCGCTAATCGGATTAATCTTACTTAACTATATATCCTTTTCCTCTTTAGCCGTCTAGGTCTCTTTATATAAGAGATACTCCTTAATTATCGCTCTCTATTAGTCCTTAAGATTAAACCTTGATATATATATAAATATTATTAGGTCCTAGATCGTCTTAGATTTAAGAGAGCCTCGGCGATAATAATAGATATCTCGAGTAGAATTAAAGAGCCGCTCTATACCCGTACCTATTATAGGAACCGAAAGAATATCACGGGTAAGACTTGCAAGTACTAGGAACTCCTACTAGTACTCCCTCTAGAAAGTACGAGGGCTAGTTCGAATAGTTACTATATATTATATTAGTAATTAGTAGTGTATATCTAATAGAGTATATACGGGTATCTAGGTATTACGTAAGCTTATTATACTTACTATTAACCGACTATTAAGATAACTCTAGCTTATATATTATCTCAAGCTTAGAGACTATACTATAAGACGATTAAATAAGAGTAGGAGGCTAGGTTTATAATAGCTGCTATTTATAAGGCTTAAGGTAAGACTCGAAGCTTTACCGATAACGTGTACGCTAGTCGTGATCCTAATCCTTAGTAGAGAAGAACTAAAGCTTCTATTAAGGAGAAATTATTATACTAATAGTATATAGATCACTATAGATTTAATTAGTTATACTATAGTATTAAGAAAGCTTACTTTTAGCTAAATTTAGAGTAGTAAGTATTAACTACTTCTAAGGAACCTTTTTCCGCTATAGCTTCTAAATAGACTTTTCTAGATAATTAAAAAGCTTATTATAGATACTAAATATAAGATAAATACTTACGTCTCTTATCTTAGAGAGTAGAGTAGTAAATTAAAAGAAAGGCTAGGTAATCTAGAGAAGATACTCGATTTAGCGCTATTCTTCTATACTAAGTACAAAGTAGTCTTAGTTATATTAAATATAAAATATATCGAATATAGACTAAAGACGTTTTATATAGCGTAGTATTAAGAATATTAAATTCTAGCGAGTTATAATATCCTAGATCGGTATAAGCTTTAGCTCTTCTTTTTAGAGATTATAAAAGGCCTCTCGACGCTATAGACTAGCGTTAATATAGATAGCTAGGCTCCGTATCTAGTAATAGGTTAGAAGATACGAGAGATATATATATTAAGCTTATACCTTATTTAAAGTATTAATAATCTCTTTCCTCTTCTACTTTACACGAAGAGACTAGATCCGGACTTTAGACTATTTAGTCTTAGCTATTTCGTTCCTTAGGTTTACTTTTATCTAACTAAGGAGATCTTTTAAGCTTAGTTGAATTATATAGGTAATATATAGAACACGTATAATAGTTAAGCTATTATAAAGCTCTAGTAACTAGATTAACTCCTATATACTAGCTATTATTATATTATTATTAGACGTATTATCTGTCGTTATTATAAGGACTCGATCTATAATCTTGTATTATTAGAGAAGGTTTATAAGTATATCGCTTAGATTTATACCTAAGTACGTCCTAGAGAGAGGCTCGAATCCTAAAAGGATCTCTTAGTATTCCTAGTCCTAGTTAAGGAAGTAGCTAGTTACTACTATAAAAGACTACCGAAAAGGAGAGGTCTAATAGTCTAGTGTAAGTAAGAGCTTTAAATCTAAAGGTAGTTTTCGAAGAATACTTAGTTATTACTCCTTTATAAAGTCTCGTAGCCGGGTTCGAATTATTTTAGAGGAAGGGATTTCTAGACTCCTTAGGGTAAGGCGAGTATAATTAATAATATTATAAAATTACTAGTGCTTAATAAATTAAAATAGGAGTCGTGATAGAGCGAGTAAGTTTAAAAGCTTATATTCCTACTCTTCCTAAGTAAAGACTAAAGCTTTCGGAGAAAACTTTGCCTAGAAAAATAAGTATCTTAGATAGGATAATTAATATATTATATACCGTATTCTCGATTATCTATC